TTGGTATAGACAAAATTAGTCATATACAACAAAAACAAAAATAGACAAGTAATGTTGTCTCAAACAAAATGTCACTGCACAAGCTGGGCGCTGGTGGCTCTGCTTGTAATCCGAGCTACTCAGGAGGCTGAGATCTGAGGATTGAGGTTCAAAGTCAGCCTGGGCAGGAAAGTCTGTGAGATTCTTACTGCAATAAACCACCAGAAAACCGGAAGTGGCACTGTAGCTCAAGTGGTAGAGTGCCTGCCTTGAGCTGAAGAGCTGAGGGACAGCGCCCAGGCCCATAGTTCAAGCCCCACAACTGACACACACAAAAAAATTACTGCACAACAAAATGAGCAAAGAGAAAAGCCAAACAGTAATAGAAAAAATAAGCCATATGTTTAATAAAGGACTATATATAAGGAAAGAAAGAAGAAATATGCTGGGCTTGACTCACACAGAAAAAAAAGGGAGAAAGAGGGGCCACAAAAATACATATCTCAAAAGAAAACATACAAGTTATACACTGGTTGGTGGCTCACACATTTGTAATCCTAACCACTCAGGATGCTGAGATCTGAGGATTGTGGTTCAAAGCAGCGAAGTTCATAAGAATGACTCTTATTACCAATTAATAACACCCAAAAAGCCAGAAGCAGAGCTGGGGCTCAAGTGGTAGAGCACTGGTTTCGAGCTGAATAAGCTCAGAAACAGTGACCAGGTCCTGAGTTCAAGCCCAGGACTAGCAATAAAAAGGAAGAGGAATGGGAAGGTGGCTCATGGTAGAGTGCTTGCCTTGCATGCATGAGGCCCTGGGTTCGATTCCTCAGCACCACGTAAACAGAAAAAGCCGGAAGTGGCACTGTGGCTTAAGTGGTAGAGCACTAGGCTTGAGCTGAAGAGCTGAAGAGCACAGCACCCAGGCCCAGAGTTGAGGCCCCACAACCGACAAAAGAAAAATAAAAAAGAAGACATAGAAGTGGTCCATACAGGGCTGGGAAGTTGGCTCAGTGGTAGAGCGCTTGACTTGCATGCCTGAGGCCCTGGGTTCGATTCCTCAGCACCACATAAACAAAAAAGAAAAAACCTGGAAGTAGCGCTGTGACTCAAGTGGTAGAGCGCTAGCCTTGAGCTGAAGAGCTGAGGGACAGCGCCCAGGCTCAGAGTTCAGGCCCCACGACTGGACCCAAAAAAAGAAACAAACAAAACCGACATAATTTCGTGAGGTATTAACAATGCTTTTTGGCCTTCTCAGTGTGAAAGTTTTGATCATGATAGAAAAAAATTCATCTTCCTTAGTGGAAATGAAACTGTAATGTAGCTAGATATTTATTTTATATAAAACATCGAGACATGTTCTACAATGGAGACTTAGACCTTATATTTAGTTGTTGCCCTTGACACTCTTGTTCTAATTCATTTTCTAGGTGCGACATCGGGCTTCTGGTCAGGTGATGGCTCTTAAGATGAATACTTTGAGCAGTAACCGGGCAAATATGCTGAAGGAAGTGCAGCTCATGAATAGACTCTCCCATCCCAACATTCTTAGGTAATTCAGTTACCTTTTTCTTCTTCCAGGAGCCATTGAGAAAGTTGAAATATATGGAAGGCTTGCTAGAATATCATTGACAACTAAAATGGGAGGTTCAGGATTTAGTTTGCTTCTTATGGTGGTTTAGCTGTGCTCTAGGCCTTTTTCTTCCCATTGAGACTTAATTTCCTGGTAATAAGATGCATTCAAGACACTTTCCTTTCTAAAGTTTCTTTCTTCTCATTCAGAGCATTAGTAGCAACTCATTAGAATAGTTGTTTGCTGTTTCTGATTAGTACTTTATGAAAGAGAAAAAATTGGTCCTTATGTGGTTATTTGATCTTTAAAAATTGTTTTATGAGGAATTATAATTAAATTAGTGAATAAAAGCTAAAAGCAAAATTATTCCCTTATGCTATTCAGCTAGTCAGGGTTTTTAGTACTCACTGGAGGCAGAGTTTGCCTGTGAAAATTATTGTTATTATAATTATTGCTATTATTATTTACCGTGCTGAGGTTGAACTCTTGCCTCATGTTTGCTAGGATAGGACTCTACCGCTTGAGCATGCTTCCTTTCTTGTTTTAGTTATTTTTCAGATAGTATTTGGGTTTTTGCCTAGGACCAGCCTTTGACTGAAATCCTTCTATCTATGCCTCCCAGTAGCTGGGATTTCAGACATATACCACCATGCATGGTTCTTAGAATAATTCTTCCTCCTCCTCCTCTTCCTCCTCCTCCTTTTCTTCTTTTGCCAGCCAGTGCCTGGGCACTGTCCCTGGGCTTCTTTTGCTCAAGGCTAGCACTCTTATCACTTGAGCTATAGAACCACTTCTAGCTTTTTCTCTTTATGTGGTACTGAGGAATAAAACCCAGGCTTCATGAATGCTAGGCAAGCACTCTACCAATAAGCCACATTCCCAGTCCCTGTTTTTTTGGTCGTGGGGCTTGAACTCTGGGCCTGGGTGATGTCCCTCAGCTTTTCAGCCTAGTGAGCACTCTACCACTTGAGCTACAGTGTCCGCTTCCAGCTTTTTCTGTTAATGTGGTGCTAAGGAATCAAAGGGCCTCATACATGCGAGGTAAGCACTCTACCACTGAGCCACCTTCCCAGCCCCAAATTTGTGAGACTTTTTTTTTTGATCGGTTATGGGGCTTGAACTCAGGGCCTGGCGCTGTCCCTGAGCCTCTTTGTCCTCAAGGCTAGTACTCTACCATTTGAGCCGCAGCACATCCTCCTATCAATCTTTTAATTTAACTTTTTTTTCCTTCCCCTATGATCCTTTTTTAAAATCCATTTATTATAAACTGGACTGACAAATGACACAGAAGACTGACCTTAATTTTTTATGTGCCTAAATAAATTTTTTTTTCCATTAAAGAAAAAAATTTAAATATAGTTTTTATATATAATAGAACTAGTATATAAAAGCCTAAAGTTGGGGACTAAGCATGGTGCTACAAAGTTAGTAATTTGGGACCCTATCAAAAATAACAACTACCACCACCAAGTAGGGTGTTGCATGCCTGCAATCCCAGCTATGCAGGAGGCAAAGATAAATAGATCATAGTCTCAAGTCAGCTCTGGACAAAGTGAGACTACCTGAAGATAAACTGAAAAATAAAAGAAAAAGATCTGGAAGCATGACCAGTGGTAAAAGTGCCTGTTAGACTTGCTAGGCTTTGAGTTGAAATTTTATTACTACTTAAAAAACAATAACAACAAAATGAAACGAGAAAAAAAACAAAGAAGAAAAGAAAAAAATGAAACAAGAAAAACAATTGCCCTACAGCTATAAAAACTCCTACAAGAAAATGGAAACAGTTTCACGTTGGTATAGACAAAATTAGTCATATACAACAAAAACAAAAATAGACAAGTAATGTTGTCTCAAACAAAATGTCACTGCACAAGCTGGGCGCTGGTGGCTCTGCTTGTAATCCGAGCTACTCAGGAGGCTGAGATCTGAGGATTGAGGTTCAAAGTCAGCCTGGGCAGGAAAGTCTGTGAGATTCTTACTGCAATAAACCACCAGAAAACCGGAAGTGGCACTGTAGCTCAAGTGGTAGAGTGCCTGCCTTGAGCTGAAGAGCTGAGGGACAGCGCCCAGGCCCATAGTTCAAGCCCCACAACTGACACACACAAAAAAATTACTGCACAACAAAATGAGCAAAGAGAAAAGCCAAACAGTAATAGAAAAAATAAGCCATATGTTTAATAAAGGACTATATATAAGGAAAGAAAGAAGAAATATGCTGGGCTTGACTCACACAGAAAAAAAAGGGAGAAAGAGGGGCCACAAAAATACATATCTCAAAAGAAAACATACAAGTTATACACTGGTTGGTGGCTCACACATTTGTAATCCTAACCACTCAGGATGCTGAGATCTGAGGATTGTGGTTCAAAGCAGCGAAGTTCATAAGAATGACTCTTATTACCAATTAATAACACCCAAAAAGCCAGAAGCAGAGCTGGGGCTCAAGTGGTAGAGCACTGGTTTCGAGCTGAATAAGCTCAGAAACAGTGACCAGGTCCTGAGTTCAAGCCCAGGACTAGCAATAAAAAGGAAGAGGAATGGGAAGGTGGCTCATGGTAGAGTGCTTGCCTTGCATGCATGAGGCCCTGGGTTCGATTCCTCAGCACCACGTAAACAGAAAAAGCCGGAAGTGGCACTGTGGCTTAAGTGGTAGAGCACTAGGCTTGAGCTGAAGAGCTGAAGAGCACAGCACCCAGGCCCAGAGTTGAGGCCCCACAACCGACAAAAGAAAAATAAAAAAGAAGACATAGAAGTGGTCCATACAGGGCTGGGAAGTTGGCTCAGTGGTAGAGCGCTTGACTTGCATGCCTGAGGCCCTGGGTTCGATTCCTCAGCACCACATAAACAAAAAAGAAAAAACCTGGAAGTAGCGCTGTGACTCAAGTGGTAGAGCGCTAGCCTTGAGCTAAAGAGCTGAGGGACAGCGCCCAGGCCCAGAGTTCAGGCCCCATGACTGGACCCCCCAAAAAAAAAGAAGTGGTCCATACATTGATGAGAAATTACTGAACATCACCAGTCATTAGAGATTTTGAATTGAAAGGCAAAATGAGATACTGCTTCTTAACTTTTAGGACAGTTACTACAAAGATGAAAGATAAGTACTGGCAAGGGAACACTTGTACACTGTTTGTGGGAATGTAAATTAGTATAGCCATTATGGAAACCAGTGTGGTGGCTGCTCAAAAAACTGAGAATAGAGTTACCATCATCCAGGTGTGTATACATCCACGCCCCTATGTTCATTTGCTACCAAGGTGGTAATTTACGGATAAATGGTTAAAGAACATGTAGTCTTAGCTGGGTGCCAGTGGCTCAAGCCTGTAATCCTAGTTATTCAGGAGACTAAGATCTGAGACTCATAGAAGCTAGCCATGGCAGGAAAGTCCGTGAGACTCTTATCTCTGATTAAATATTAAATTATAATAATGCTTATAATTTAAAGTAATATAGTATAAATATTGTGTAAAATATAGGAAATTTAACATGCCTTCTTACAAAAATGATATCTCACATTGTATTCTATAAATAAATACAGTTAGTATTGGTTTATTTGAAAAGTAGAGGTATTCTTTTTTTGGGGGGGGGTTGGTTATGGGGCTTGAACTCTGGGCTTGGGCCCTGTCCCTGCGCTCTTCAGCTCAAGGTGAGCGCTCTACCGCTTGAGCCACAGTGCCACTTCCGGTTTTCTAGTGGTTTATTGGAGAAAAGAGTTTCACAGCTTTTCCTGCCTGGGCTGGTTTTGAACTGCGATCCTCAGGTCTCAGCCTTCTGAGTAGCTAGGATTACAGAAGTAGTAGTATTCTATGACTAAAAATGAAGGATGTATGCCAAGCTTACACTTATAATCCTAGCTACTCAGGAGGCTGATTGCAGTTTGTGATTCAAAGCCAACCTGAGCAGCAAATCCCTTAAGACTTTTATCTCCAATTAATCACCAAAAAGCTGGAAGTAGGCCTATGTGTTAGAGCACTAGCTTTGAGCACAAAAGTTCAGGTATAGTGCCCAGGCCTTGAGTTCAAGCCCCAGGATTGGCACACACACACACACACACAAAAAGATGCCAGATCAAATTGCTTGGATTCAAATGTTGAGAAGGTTACTTGACCTCTCTAAGCCTTGGTTTTTCCATCTATAAAATAAGAGTGATAAACTGGTATCCATGGCTTATGACTGTAATTCTAGCTTTTCAGAAGGCTGAAACCCAGAGCCCAAGGAGAAAAGTTCAATAAACTCCATCTCAAAAATAAACAGCAAAAAAGTGTGATGGAGACATGGCTTAAATGTTAGAATACTAGCCTAGCAAGATTTATAGTAAATAAAAATGACAGAAAATGGGACTGGTAATGTGTCTTAGTGGTAGAGTGCTTGTCTAGCATGCATGAAGCTCTAGGTTTGATTCCTCAATACCACCTAAACAGAAAAAGAAAAAAAAGGCTGGGGGTGGTGCTGTGGCTCAAGTGGTAGAGTGCTAGCCTTCAGCAAAAGAAGCTCAGGGACAGTGTCCAGGCCCTGATTTCAAGCCCCAGGACTAGCAAAAACAATAAAAAAGAAAAGAAAAGAAAAGAAAAGAGAGTAAATAGTAATAGAATTGTTATTTAAGGTTAAATTTAGTACAATGAATAGTATCTGACTTGTGGTAAATTCTCAGCTAATATTGGCTATTATTATTTGCTTATTTTCCTTTGGCCATATCTTTCAGTGGCCTATTATAGGCTTTCTTTTATTCCTTTATTCATGCACCAAACGTTTCTTCCTTCCTTCTTCGTTCCTTCCTTCCTCCCTCCCTTCCTTCCTTCCTTCCTTCGTCTCTTTTTCTTTCTTTCCTTCTTTCTTTTTTTCTTCTTTCTTCCTTTTAAATGGTACTATAGTTTTGAACTCTGGGCCTATGCCTGCTAAGTAGGTGCTCAACTACTTAAGCTACACCCTTAGCCAGTTTGGCTTTTACTTTTTTTATTTTTATTTTTGTTGGTCATGGAGCT